CCTCGCCCTAGAGAATAATTTAGTTACTCATGTTCAAAGAAAACATAATTGAAAAACTAGAAAACATAAAATAAAACTTATGGATTGTGACGAAGCTCGAGAACTTGATGATGGCAGCGACTCTTTGACTCTCCTTCCAACTCCAGCATGAGAGAACCCTATTTTTTGGTCTTCTTTAAATAAGGAACAAATCCTCTTTTGACTTGGTAATTATGCTTTCCTAGTTTGGCTTCAATTGTCTTTGATGAGTTGGCATCCAAAATCCTACCAAATATAGGATCAGACCTTAGAAAATAACTCCACATCCTTGTAGACGCTTCCCAAATGTAATTGACACAAATTAAACTCCAAGGATTGAACTTCAAAAGGATTATTTTGCAAAACCCGCAGAACACATTCTGCCCGAACTGTGTTTACTAAAACGGCCACTACTCTCTCCACACATGTCCGAATCACGAACCGTAAAATTATACAAAACGCTAACATGTGTATCTTTCCAACGATATAAGGCTCAACATCTGGTTCGTTCTGAGGAAGTACAGTATATTCTGTCAAGTTGACTGTTCTGCAAAGCACATTCTGCTCCCAGAATTTCACATTATATTTCAATCCCAAAATTGCTCCTTTTGCTTGCTTTTCCATCTTTACTCTTCAAACCTAGTAAAACACAAAACTAAGTAAAAATGGACTAAACTCACTCAAGAACATAGCAAGAATCTAAGAGAAAGATAATAAAAATGTATGAAATAATGGTTATATCACTACAGCTGCATTGTAATTAATAGCACATGATTAGATTCCAATATAGTTAGATGGTTAGTATAGAGCAACATATAAAAGCTAGGTCTCTCTGTAATAGGATTCATTCTGTATATTCTGAGAATTAGAGAAATCAATCTAGAGGTTTCCTATTCTTTCTCTGCTTAATTACTTTCTTTTTCATTCTTGCAATGGCTACCACGGTTATCACAATGATGAGCTCCAATTTTACATGGCGTAAGCAATTGGGAAATGCTGTGACACCCATATTGGCGTTGTAATTTTTGATGAAAATTAAGTGTCAGTTTTGGGCATTATACTTTTTACAGATTTGTTCTATGATGTTTATGCTGGAACAATACGTTTTCACATAACTATGTTCGGTTAAGGAATTTGCATGAGTTGGAGAGTCATTTGATAATTAGTGGAGACTTATACCATTGTGAGTTTTTGACCCTCAGCATTTTATTTTGAGTGAAAGATGCTACCGCTATGTTTTCTTGACTTTTTTGATTGTTGTTGTGATCTCATTATGCTTCATTTTGGTAAAGTACTGAAAACAACATTTGAATTTGGATATTTAACACTAGAATTCCTTCTATATTTATTTGACGCATAAAATATCCACATGAAGCTTGGGAAGTGATATAGGCCATTTTTGGATCGGTTGAGCCTTTCTTGCCTACCTGTACGATTGTTTATCCGTAGTAACCCCCTCGAAACTTATATCCAGTCGTTTTCTTTGTTAGCCATATTTTCCTTACCATGCTCCTAATTTCATGTCTTTCCCCTCTCATCATTTTCTGGGAAACTGATAGACAATTCTTGGCAGTTTTCAGTGATCTTCATGGGTGGTTTAGCAGAGTTCCTGATAGTACTGTGTGGAGCTGCGTTTAAAAAATAAACAAAGGGAAAAAAAAAACAGCAAAAGAAAAGATGAATTTTAAGCTGAAAAAAGAAAAGGTCACAAACAAACAAAGAGACTGCTGCTCCTGTTTTGGATTGGGAGTAACTATATGCTGATCTTACTTTTAGGAAGTCTATCAATTTGTCGGGAACCATTGCATCCATATCCTTTCTTTTATGAGGCTTGACCTTAGCCTGACATTACCACCCATGCAAAGTCCTTTCATTCTGAGGGAAATATCTAGTGAGGTTTGAAGTTGAAGCCACTACTACAAAAAGTGAAAAAGACGACCAAAAAAAGACGACAGTAGAAGAAAAAACCGTCGTTGCGTTTAAAAAGACGACGGTAACAAAAAAAACGTCGTGGATAAGTGACTTAAACAACTAAAAAACGGAGGTACTATTGAATATTTTTTTATAACGACGCACACAAATAAAAAAACTCGTCTTATTAAAAAGGTTTTCTTTAGAGTTAAAATCTAACCAAAAAACGACGACAGCAGATATGACAAGCGTCGTCTTTTAAAAATCAAGTGTCCTTTTTTTGGTAAAGACATGGTTGTTTTGAAAAAACTGTCGTCTATTATATGTAAAGATGACGGTTTTTTTTTAAAAAGGGTCGTCTATTATGAAGTAAAGATGACGGTTTTTTTTTTAAAAAGGGTCATCTATTATATTTAAAGATGACGCTTTTTTGTAAAAAAGGGTCGTCTATTGTGAAGTAAAGATGACGGTTTTTTTTTAAAAAGGGTCGTCTAATATATGTAAAGATGACGCTTTTTTGTAAAAAAGGGTCGTCTATTGTGAAGTAAAGATGATGGTTTTTTTTTAAAAGGGTTGTCTATTATATGTAAAGATGACGCTTTTTTGTAAAAAAGGGTTGTCTATTGTGAAGTAAAGATGACGGTTTTTTTTAAAAAGGGTCGTCTATTATATGTAAAGACAACGATTTTTTTTATTTATAAAAGGGTCATCTATTATATGTAAAGATGATGCTTTTTATAAAAAAAAAACTATCGCCTATTATATGTAAAGATGACGGTTTTTTTTTTAAAAAAGCGTCATCTTTTAAAACACGCTAAAAAATGGCCGCTTAAGTGAATTCGTGCTCAACAAATTTTCAAATTTTCACCTGTCTTTGAAAACCTTATCTCTCATTAACAAGCGTCGTCTTTTAAAACACGCTAAAAAAAGGCTACTTAAGTGAATTCGCACTCGACAAATTTTCAGATTTTCCCCCGTCTCTGAAAACCTTCTCTCTCCCTCCGTGAAACCCTCCTGCACTCTCTAAAACACTCTCATGAAACTCTCTACAAAATCATCAAAAAATCAATATCAATGAAAGAGTTGAGAGATTTTCGCAGATCCATAAGATGTAGAGGGAGGTTCTGTATTTGAGAATCAAAGCTGGTTGAAAGGTTTGATTTGAAAGTCACCTAATCTCTCAATACCCTTCTATATCTTGCTAGTGAATTCTGGATTAGTCTCTTTGCGTTTCTAGTATGTTCTTTGTCTCCCTGATTTCAAATTTTCTGTCTCTATTGATTTGTCTGGTTTGTTTACATAATTTTTTTTTTATATTTCTGGTTTCTTTTTAGATTTTCTGATTTTATTATCAAGAGATGAGGAGGAAGCTTGCAGATTTATAACTTTTTCTTTTGCAGGTTTTCTATGTGAGTCGTATGTTTTTTTTTTGTTGAAAATTTGTTACCTTCTCGTTTCACTATCATTTTATTTATATATTTTTTCTTTTGCAGGTTCTCGATGGTCTTTTTTATGCTCATTTTACAAGTTTTCTATGGAAATATGGTCCAATGGTAAAATTTCTCTTCCACCTAATTTTTTATGTTTATAATCTTAGCTTTTTTTTTTTCTCTCTTTGTCATTTTGATTTATTTACAGGGATGATGGAGGAGACTTCAGTTGTGCATCATTTGTATGTTTGGATGAGGAAGGCTTGGATTAGGAGTACGTAGGTCTTGTTAGGAATTATGTTTGTTGTAAAATAAAGATTGGTTAACTATGTAATAACTATTGAATCTTCAAGTTTTATGAAAGAAACTATTTTTGAGTGTATATATTCATTAATAAAGAATTATGGTTGGTTTTCTAGTTAAAATCATTGTATAGCATCATAGGAAATCAAAAAGAACTAAAATGTAGCAATTTGGGAACTTATTAGACGACGATTTTTATAATAAATCATGATCTTTACAGATAATTAACAACGGTTTTTATAAAAAAGGTCGTCTATTATAGGTAAAGATGACTTCTTTTTTTTTAAAAGAGTCGTCTATTATATGTAAAGATGACGGTCTTTTTTAAAAAGGGTCATCTATTATATGTAAAGATGACGGTTTTTTTAAAAAAAGGTCGTCTATTGTGAAGTAAAGATGACTGTTTTTTTTAAAAATGGTTGTTTATTGTATGTAAAGATGACGGTTTTTTAACCGTCATCTTTACATACAATACACGACGGTTTTTAAAACCGTCGTCTTTCATCATATAAGTAACGATCTTTACCTTTAAACAACAACGATTTTCTTTAAAAACCGTCGTCTTTACAGATAAACAATGACGGTGAAAAGCCGTCGTAGTTTGACACCCAAATAGACGGCAGTCGATTTAACGACGGATTTCAAAGCATTACAACGACGGTGGATCCCCGTCGTCTATTTCGTTTTTTGTAGCAGTGAGCATACTTTCATTTGGTGATCTGATTTGTGTAGAGACTAAAATTGGGAATTGCATTGACAATAGCTATATGCACATACACACATCCAGCATGAATGTTTTGGAAATTGTTTGGGATTTGGATAATGCCTAGAATTGCTACTAATGTTCATTAGTTTGTTACTGTGGTAATATGGGCTCATTGTATTTTCAAATTGTCATGATGTGTTATTGCTCTGAGGCTAAACTCTTGGAAGCTGCTGTTCAATAGTAGTAGGTTTTTGGTGCAGTTAGTTTTATGTTCTTTTCTATGTTTTGCTGAAGGACTAGCAAATATAAGTTCGTGTTTATTTGATAGACACGTAATTCTCAATATTTTCATCCCTAAAACTATATTTGTTAGCAGTTAATTTATTATATTTTGGGCTAATTAGTTTATATTTGTACTTTGGCAAGTGTTGGGCTTAAGTGAACTAAAAATGCCAAAAATGAACTAGTTACCAAAATAATAATTTGATAGGGCATTTAAACAAGAATTTACACTTTGGGTTTGTTATTAAAATTTATAAAAGAGTTTATGTTCTCTATTAATGCAATTTGTTTTTTTTTATTAGGCTAATGACTATTGGAGTTTGGTGGACCCCAAGGGCAATGTGGCTAGCTCTCAAGACTAAAGCACATATTCACCCTTCCTATTCTTTGTCGGCAACGAGGGCTAGAGAAACAGAAAGAACTTGGTTGCAAATCCAAATTCATACAGCAGATTTTTCATGAGATGTATTGGGTAATTGGGTTTTTCCTTCAAGTTTTGAGAGACCAGAAATTCGAAAGAGGAATGAAGGAAAACTTAAGAAAGAGGAGCGAACAGGAAACAAATTTGAGGCCGTGCAATTTACTCAAGTTACAAGAAGAGGAAAGAATTTGATGCAGCGATTTGTTGGCTGATTCGGCGATTGGAGATCTCCTTCTTGGGCAAGGAAGCTGGCCTTATAAAAGAGAGGAAGTCCAGCAATTTGGAAGGACGGATTACAACTATTTGGGCGTGACTGCAGCAGAGAGGAGTAGGGAGTACCGTATCTGTCAATCTTTACCCTTATTTTCTTGCAATTTTACTATTTCTGAATTCAGTGATTATGACTTTTATCATGGGATTCTAATTTCTATTCTAAGGCTGATGATGAAGCCCTAACATGAATACTTTGTAGTACTTATTTGGTTGCTATCAATTGTCAAACCTTGTTGAACTTTTAATCTTTGTGTGTTGTGTATGTCTATCTTCAAAATTCTTATTGATTGGTCATCTTTAAGGATTTGTAATTGGATCTTTGAGCAAAATTGGGAGGGAAACACCATCCACTAATTTTGTTGGACTTAAGATTAAAAGGAGTAGAGAACTAGGAGGGAAACACCATCCACTAGGGTTGCTTGATTGCTAAATTTCTCTTATGCTTAATGGGCTGTTATATGTGAAATTTATGCCTTGGCAGGATAGATTGCATATAGGAGTACATGTTTTGATACCTTGACAAGATTGATTCATAAATTAGAGAGAACATCCTTCAATAATGGTTTGATGAATTGATAGTAATCCACTAAGAAAAGAAAGTAGGATTGTTAGCGGTGGAGTCATCGCCTTAGTCTTTCCATCAGTTTAATTGTTGTGATATTGGTTTTATCTATTTGCTAGTTGGTTTAATTTTATCACTTGGTTTACAGGAAAATCCAATCTTCATCACCCCCCTTTGTGTTCTTGTGTGTTAGTCAAGTTAAGTTAGTTGTTTTATTATTTTCCTTCAAATCAATTATTCAAAAACCCCCTTTGTGTTTATGTGCATAAGTTACATGTTTAAATTCCATTTTAATTTCTTTTAAGTGTTTGTTAAGTTAAATTAGGTTTAGTTATTTCGAAGTTAAGAACTCAATCCTTGTGGGAATGACTTCGTGTTTGCCTTGCTAAATTACGATTGACCTTGTGCACTTTCGAGTATAATTTGTGTTTAGATTAACCTCTGTTTTGCAGGTATATATCCAAAATTCACAACAATACCCGCATTCGAGAATCATTAAGTCGTGCTTCAATTCTGATCAGCGATTCGCCCCTTTTCTCCCGTCGATCCATTAGTCTATGCCGACAATTGGAATGGACCTTTTGGGGAAGATGTGGCCTGTTCTTGGGAGCAGGGATAACTAATTGCTTGGAAGGGGTAGGTTCGGCAATCGTCGTGCCTTTCCCCTTCCTTTGCCTATTGGGAGTGCATACACTCTAGTGAGACTGATCGGCCTGAATTTTCTGGGTTTGCTGCTGATTGAGTTACTTCTGAGTTTCATCCACTTTGGATGAAAGGATCTTGTTGTGTTCTTGCATCTTCACCATATCCTGTTGTAACATCGGGATTTGAGCCAGGAGCTCAACTTCGGTAGTTGTTTGTAGTGTAGCGGGACCTACACTTGTGCGAGGGGGCATTGCTGGACTCGCCCAACCCTGTTTGTCAAATGGTGACTCATCAAACGGTAGGAATAGCGAAATAAAGGAAGTACCCATCTTGGCTAGGTAAATATTGTGGATTGATTAATGATGATTCCCACATACGACATCAAACTGTTGATGCACAAAAATGGTCGAACACTTTCAAGCCCAACTTAGTGATGATGTCACCTTCGAATCTGCGCACTCTTCGACATAGTGGATGATCTGCGAAACAAAGAATGGACAGTGAGACCTTGGGTACCAGTGTTGTACCGCCTGAAGGCTCTCCGATGCTTAAGTTAGTATTAAGTACTGAGTGAATAGTGATCAGGACAAAGTGTTGGCTAAGTAGCCGAATGTAACAGTTACCTCATTTTGAGGACTTGTGTCCCTATTTATAGACCTTGGGGGTGTGCATCTTGAGTGATATTTCGATGTGGGATTGCAAGCATTGCCTGAGGAGGCACCACGTGTCTTTGTGAGAAATTACTCTAAAGCGCAGTCTTTAGCTGTGATCGGTTGGCTGAGTTGTCGAAGGCTTGCCGCTTGTCAATAGTACTTTGTGGGACATAATAGATCATCAAGTTTGTGGGATCTGCTTGTGGGTCCCTTGTTCCATGTGTCATTCATTGATTGGCCAGTCAGATATGGTATAAACAATTGGTTTTCTTGGAAACATGTGTTTTTGCTTGTAGATGTTTGTTGTTTGTTATCGACTGTTTATTCTACTAACAACTTGCACAAGGCTAACGTGGACTGTGGTCCTTTTCATGGCTTGAAATTCGTAGGAAACCACGCTTCAATTGTTGTTAACTATTTATTTTTTAAATTAACTCCCAAAAATTGATTGGAATTAGCATGTAATCTGTTTCTCATTCATGGCCGTATGTCTTATTGGTCCATCATGCATTTGGGCTTCTCCTTTTTCTTTTTGGGGCATCAAATTTTTATTTTTTTAAATTTTACTAATGAGGTGGTGTGTTTTGAACTTAAAACTTCTTCCATGTCATTAAGAAACACTATTAGACTGAGAGGTACTGCGTACCATTTTTATTTCTTTAGATAAATCATAAACTTTAAAGATTACAAAGAAGAAGGAAGCATCCAAACTTAGATAATATGTGCATATACACACCTAAAGAGGTAAAATAGATTTAGGGTTTATTTCATGAAATTCGCATGCACTTAACATGCAATTAAAAGGGTGATGCTTTTTTTCAAGGGTAAACTTCAATAAGAGACCTTAGGCCCAATGTATGTGTAATCTTATAGTGAGAGAATCCAGCAGCCAAAAAGAGCTTTTCCCACTCTGCTTCACTACGCTCTTTGCCATTGAGGTCGACCATCATCAACATATCCCACATGAGCTGAGTTTCAATTGATTTCTTATCCATCTTCTTATCATCTGCAGACACATTTATGTCCAGGATGATAACCTTTTCTCCATTTTTGCTCAGAATTGATTCTCTACTCTTCTTTAATATCTTCACGCTTTCCTCATCACTCCAATCATGCAGAATCCACTGATCATTGATGCCATACATTAATTAATGGTTAATTACTTTAACGTAAGCATTGAATTTGTACTCACAACCACATCTGTGCATAGAATTAGCATACGGTACTTGCTTAATATACTTTGTACATGCATCGATTGACATGTCATCATTACTAATTTATTTATGAATAGTAAAGTTTGTTAAGATTTCAGAGGGACAGACTCGCGGACCACTACTAACAACATCGATATTACCCCAAATTAACCACCAGCATAGTCCAAGCTGGTGTGGGGTTTATATAAAAGGGCATATGTTATACATTTTGTCTAAATTTCCAATGTGTGACTTTACACTCTTCAACAAGATTGTCTTTTCGTTTTGAGTTTTATTATTAAACTCCATAAAAATTCCTTAAATACAAAGCTCGGATTGAAAGCCAAGCAAAACAAGGACGAGTTTAGAAAATTCTGCAAAGGCAAGGGTGAGATGTGTTTACTAACAACAAGGTAACAATTAATTCGGAAATTAAGGAATAATAAAAATGAGAGAAATAATTGAGTTTTATAATTACCTTGAGCAAAATTGCATTTGCTGGGGGTATCTTCTCAAACATGTCTCCTCCAACAAAATCCAAATTGTGAGTCCCTTGCAAGTTTGCAACAACATGTGGTTGGTCAAAGACAGTGCAATTGACGTTGGGGAAGGCCTTGGCAATGGCTTTCGCCATGGTTCCTGTGCCACCTCCAACATCAACCAAGGAATTCAAACCCTCAAAAACTCCTTCACACTCTTCAACCACTGCCCTTGCAAGCAGTTGAGAGTCAGCCTCCATTGCTTCATTAAACAAGCTACCAAACTTTGGTTGCTGAGCAGCCAAACCCCAAAATGGCCTTCCATGTGCCATCTCAAATGGGGAAGCTGGATGATCCTGATTTCCATGATTGTTCATCTGGCACCAAGTTCCCATTAGATGAAATGGATCTGTCACTACTGGATCAAGAATCATAAGTAAAAATTGTGTGGTGCTTAATGGACCTTCCTTGAGGAGAAGCCTGGAAGCTGGTGTTAGGCTATACACCACAACAGCTTTTTCCTCCTCTTCATCATCAAGATCCTGATGAACAATATTCTCATTGTTGTTATTATTGTTTGGAAGAAGTGGTAGCTGAACTTGCTGGTCTTGTGCAAAGAAATTGGAGTGGACGAGGATTCGCATGACTTTAGATAAATCATAAACTTTAAAGATTACAAAGAAGAAGGAAGCATCCAAACTTAGATAATATGTGCATATACACACCTAAAGAGGTAAAATAGATTTAGGGTTTATTTCATGAAATTCGCATGCACTTAACATGCAATTAAAAGGGTGATGCTTTTTTTCAAGGGTAAACTTCAATAAGAGACCTTAGGCCCAATGTATGTGTAATCTTATAGTGAGAGAATCCAGCAGCCAAAAAGAGCTTTTCCCACTCTGCTTCACTACGCTCTTTGCCATTGAGGTCGACCATCATCAACATATCCCACATGAGCTGAGTTTCAATTGATTTCTTATCCATCTTCTTATTATCTGAAGACACATTTATGTCCAGGATGATAACCTTTCCTCCTTCATTTTTGCTCAGAATTGCTTCTCTACTCTTCTTCATTATCTTCACGCTTTCCTCATCACTCCAATCATGCAGAATCCACTGATCATTGATGCCATACATTAATTAATGGTTAATTACTTTAACGTAAGCATTGAATTTGTACTCACAACCACATCTGTGCATAGAATTAGCATACGGTACTTGCTTAATATACTTTGTACATGCATCGATTGACATGTCATCATTACTAATTTATTTATGAATAGTAAAGTTTGTTAAGATTTCAGAGGGACAGACTCGCGGACCACTACTAACAACATCGATATTACCCCAAATTAACCACCAGCATAGTCCAAGCTGGTGTGGGGTTTATATAAAAGGGCATATGTTATACATTTTGTCTAAATTTCCAATGTGTGACTTTATATTCTTCAACAAGATTGTCTTTTCGTTTTGAGTTTTATTATTAAACTCCATAAAAATTCCTTAAATACACTGCTCGGATTGAAAGCCAAGCAAAACAAGGACGAGTTTAGAAAATTCTGCAAAGGCAAGGGTGAGATGTGTTTACTAACAACAAGGTAACAATTAATTCGGAAATTAAGGAATAATAAAAATGAGAGAAATAATTGAGTTTTATAATTACCTTGAGCAAAATTGCATTTGCTGGGGGTATCTTCTCAAACATGTCTCCTCCAACAAAATCCAAATTGTGAGTCCCTTGCAAGTTTGCAACAACATGTGGTTGGTCAAAGACAGTGCAATTGACGTTGGGGAAGGCCTTGGCAATGGCCTTGGCCATGGTTCCTGTGCCACCTCCAACATCAACCAAGGAATTCAAACCCTCAAAAACTCCTTCACACTCTTCAACCACTGCCCTTTCAAGCAGTTGAGAGTCAGCCTCCATTGCTTCATTAAACAAGCTATCAAACTTTGGTAGTTGAGCAGCCAAACCCCAAAGAGGCCTTCCATGTGCCATCTCAAATGGGGAAGCTGGATGATCATGATTTCCATGATTGTTCATCTGGCACCAAGTGCCCATTAGATGAAATGGATCTGTCATTACTGGATTAAGAATCATAAGTACAAATTGTGTGGTGCTTAATGGACCTTCCTTGAGGAGAAGCCTGGAAGCTGGTGTTAGGCTATACACCACAACAGCTTTTTCCTCCTCTTCATCATCAAGATCCTGATGAACAATATTCTCATTGTGGTTATAATTGTTTGGAAGAAGTGGTTGCTGAACTTGCCGTTCTTGTGCGAAGAAATTGGAGTGGACAAGGATTCGAATGAGGTGAGCAATGAAATGAGCTTTCGAAGGGTGGATATTGAGGCCGGAAATGAGATTGGAAAGGGATATGGGTTGGCCATGGTTGTGAATCACATCTGGGATGCCTAATTGAACTGCACACTTTAATGACATGGAGTTTATGAACTGGAAGATATGATTCCACACATGAGCTTGAGCTTGAAGAAGCTCATGGCTAGTAGCACTCACTTTATCATTACTCAAAGCCATTTATCTAAGTGTGTATGTTTATATGTGTAGCTTAAGAACACCGATGGCTCTTATTTTATGTCTTCTATACTGGGGATCTGCTTATATAGTCGTTGCCGACGACACAATCCACATCCCAATTATTTAAGTAAATAATACTAGAAAGGGCCGTACTTATATGCTAATATGCTATGCATGTGTAGAAGGAAGTTTCTGTAGATTGAACTTTGAAGTGGGAGGGAGAAATTGACAAAGTGAAGTTTCATCTAATTATTATGTATATGTATTAGGGAGTTACAATAGTATTTCAGTTACAATAGTTAATCCTACTAATGATAGGAAATGGTCAGTTGTCAGTTATGTTGTTATTAGGCCATAACTCCATATTTATGTTTATGATAATGGCTTGTTGTAACTGTAGATTATTCTCTACAAACTTTATATATATTGTATAATGATCTTATAAATAATATAAGGGAAAATCAGTTTCTACATGGTATCAGAGCTAATGGCTAACGCCGATTAGCGATCCTCTAGTTGCCAACATTGAGAGTCGTTGGCGCTCCTCACCCGTAAGAGTGTTCGTTTCTGTACAATCATTTTTCCTCTCCTCTTCTCAAAGATGAATATTGTTGTTTTTTTTTTCCTCTCCTCCACAGCTTAGTGCCTCTT